AAAGTGACCTAAGGCAGAGAGAAAAAGAGTATAGGGGTACGTGTCTTCACACAGCTTGCCCTGGCTGATACTATTTATAGCCCCCTGAGCAGTGACCCTTGAGCACAAATCCAGAAGTAAGCCTTGAGCTCAACTACCTATTGACAAATAACTCTAAATAAATAAATAGATATTATCTACCATATTTGCTTGGATTTGAATGAAATATTTCTTTTCATTATCCTCCTATTTATTAATTTTCAACAATTATTAAAAATCTTCCCCCCGTAGTTTCCAACTTTCTCCAAGTTTCTGTGTACCTATAAACATGTCACATTTGAGCATACTTTTATCTTAGTTCCATAGTTGGCCACCAAAATTAAAAGTAAACATTATATTTCCTGTAGGATTATATTTGTACTACTGTTATTTTGCTGGTTAGAAATATGAAAGCATTGAAGTTGATATCCATACTGGATAGTGTACTTGTGACTTATTAGATATGCCAAACACAGTAACAACAAGTCTCACAATAGAGATATTACTGGGCCCACTTGAGCAAATCAATGAACAACCGTACAGTGACAGTGACAAAAATAGTACTTAAACAGTGTCAAAATCATTTAATATCATTCATAAATAATATTCCTATTCCAACTAAAATATTGATAATTTTGTAATATATATACAGAAATATGTGCATGTGTGTATGTATCTATAATATAGATAGATACTAATGTGGGCCAGCTAAGAAGGGTTGACTATACTTGCTATCGGTCCATTAGTTAGCATAATATAATCACATATAATACCTTAATATCTTACAGATTTTTTTACTCAAATTGATATCATTTATTAGAGAGGTATTCCCAGACTCTGAAACATCAAAATACTTCATTTCAAATAGTTTATCAATTTTACTTTTTCACTTTAGTTTAAAAGAGTTCATGATTTTAATATTAATTTACTTATTTAGAGTACAATTTTGCAAGAGAGTGCTCATTTAGAAATTGAAAGCAATATTTTATTTAAACACAATACTATTTAATAATATAGAGATATTCCTTCCACTTACATTTGGGCAATGCATGAAAATTGTCAAGTGTTTAGTACTATCATATATTAAAAAAAAGAACAAGCAAACAGCACCCGGCCCAGACAAAGTCAAACCCGAACACCTCAAGAACCTGCCGTCAGTACTCATCAATACACTCGCTTGGCTCTTCACATGCTAACTCTCTGAATGCAAAGTTCCATCCCAATGGAAAACCAGCAGGACTATACTACTGTACAAGAAGGGTGACATCTACAACATTGGCAACTATCACCCGATCTGCCTGTTGTCTGTCATCTACATTCTGTTTACTCGAGTCCATCCTGAATAGGTTTGGCAGAACACTAGATGAAGGACAGCCATGCAAGCAAGCCAGGTTCCGGAAAGGATTCAGCATGACTGACCATATCCACATGATAACCAAGCTCATTGAGGTTTCTCGGGAGTTCAAGATGTTGCTCTGTCTAATGTTCATTTATTTAAAGAAGGTCATTGTGCTTTCTCATACAAAATGGAAAATGTTTTAAGTTCAATGTTACGTTAGGAATTTTAGAAAATGAATAATTTTATGCTTGTGATTTTCTATTGAAAGCAGATCCCTTGTTCACCAATTATTTTGGAAAATTCTCCATTTTTTTCTGAAATTCAACAATCTCAGCTTTCATTATCTTCATACCGACAGTCATTGCATGGCATTTACATTGTCATCTTCTTAATACTTCCCCATTTTATTTAGCAGTGTTGTTCTGCCTGAATTTCATTGTCACAGCTTAATAAAAAAGTTTTACCTGTATCATAACTTGTGGAAGAAGTTTTATAAGTTCTTTCTTGAACAAGATATAATAAAATGTCAAATTTAGTGAATCTACAGTAATTATAATATAAAACGGGAAAAGATCAAATAAGCTAATCAATCGCATGCGTGTTCATTGGCCTGCATTCTAGCTTATTTTAGGGTTTCAGAAGAAGATGCCATAGCATAAGTATAGGCATGCATCCTTCTTTGGAAACTATATATGCATCTGTAAAGTGTTCAGTATTGACTTGAGAGGCAGTTCATAGATTAAGACCCCTGCCTTGCACACTGCTAAGATTTATCCCCCGTGGCAAATATGGTCCCCTGAGCACCATCAAGAATGGTCTCAACTACAGAGCCAGAGATAAGCCCTAAGCATAGGTGGACATTGCCTAGTCCTGCCCAACCCCCACCTCCTCAAATACCCTATGCATAAGAAAAATGTTTTCTCTCTCTCTCTCTCTCTCTCTCTCTCTCTCTCTCTCTCTCTCTCTCTCCTCTCTTGTTCTCTCATTTCTGCATTTCTGACACTGAACCTTTGGAATTATCTGGGATTTCTGGAAGATTTTTTCACTCCGAACAGGAAACTCTTTGTAGAATCACATTGAATTCCAGAAAGGAAACTGGTCTTTAGGAAAACTAAGCTGTTATCAAGAGTTTGGAACTTGTAGCTAATCCTAAACTTCAGGAAGAGTACAAGGACAGGAGCTCGAGTCAATGACTGGTGACATCTATGAGGTAAGGTCCCCAAAAATATCTGTGAACTGTGAGGTTTAATGAGGTTATGATCTGGTTACTCACAAAAATTATGGGAGAGAAGGGGCACCTGGAAAAAAGACTTGAATTTTCTGGGTATTTTTCTCTGAATTCATCTTATTATAGTATCGTTTTTTATATGGTCGCATTTTATAAAAGTCTTTATAATAATCCAGTAGCACTGTAGCACTGTCCTCCTGTTGTTCATCAATTTGCTCGAGTGGGCACCAGTAACGTCTCACAACAAATTGTGAGACTTATTGTCACTGATTTTGGCATTGAATATGCCAGGAGTAGCTTGCCTGGTTTTGCCATGAGGGCGAGATACTCTCAGTAGCTTGCAGGGCTCACCAAGAAGAGCGGAGGAATCGAATCAGGGTCAGTTGCACGCAAGGCAAATGCCTTACCCACTGTGCTATCACTCCAGCCCAATAATCCAGAAAATGTAAATAAATGTTTACCTGATTTTTGTGAGCCTTTCACATAATTTACCAAATCTAAGAAGGAGTTAAAGAATGTGCTTTTATAAATGGTTGGTTACTAATAAAGATGAAAATTTGCAATTTGTGATTGACTTCTGAGATGGGAGGAGAATTTTGTGAAACTGATTTTTTTAAGATTTACTTTTATTCATAAGATATCATTGTCTGCTTTTCCTTCTCTGGACACTGGCTATACAATATGATAATATCCCTATAATATGGAAACGCGCTTATTCACCAGTATGTGATTAGGAGCTTCACATGCATTATAGTATTCATTCCTTACAGCCCAGTATGAATAAATGTCACAGGTAACATTTTTCATAGCTATGAGAACAATTTTGAATGTGATAGTTATCAGGGATCATATCTGCAAAAGAAAGTTGAAGAAGAATAAGAGAAAAAGTCAAATAATGACGCAGACATAAAAATGGCACAGCCAAACAGACTATGCCAATATACATTTCAAATCTGCCATTTGATGGAGAAGAAGAGAAGAGAAACTAGACCTTAGCAAAATGTGGGCAACCTGGAATTTATATGAGGGTCCTGCATATCAGAAATACAGAACAAAATAAAGAAAATAGAATATTGTCTAAATATAGTTGGTTGTTGCCACTATGTAAGGAATTTGTGTTTCTGCTTTTCATAATCTTAGCTCAAGTAAAATGAAAGGATATTTTAAATGCAGGTATTTGTTTGTAGACAGGATGAATAATAAAAATTAACTGGATACTTCTGATAATTACAAACAGTCCCATAAATATGAATGAAATAAAATATCAATATTCTCTACCTAGAATATGGAGATGGAAATGAAAAGTTGGTGTAAATCTGTATTTTAATCAATGGGGTTCAACAGTCATAAAAACACTTTATAATAAAATTTTGGCCAGTTATTGATGTCCTTTAAATAAGTTGCCTGACTACAAGGGTGACAGTTCTCTTATTACAAATGTAACTCTACCACGGTTCACTGAAACATTTCCCAAGTTCTAAGCCTAAAACTCATTAAAAATAAATTAAAATTCTTATTTTCAATACTGCATTTTGGATACTTTACTTGAGAAGCAGTGTATTTTATTTTTTCACAAATAATATATGCATCTCATTTTATGTTTATTAAATTCCCTTTAATCATTAATATAAGCTCTACAGTAGCCAAAAACCTGAATCTGTATTATCAGTGATTACCAGAAACACTGTTGATAAGGTAACAAAAATAAAACTTTCCCTTTATGACTCTTTAAAATCAGTATTCATAGTCTAAGACTTGCCACTTTAAAAGAGAAGAGACAATTAAAGAAAAATTACCTGAAAGCTGTGACTTTCAGTTTATTTTTTTTAAGTCACAGGTTTTGCAATAGATTTTGAAGAGCAATTTAGCACAGTGTTTAAGAAGATGAATTCCATGGCTCATAGAGCTTCGCCATTGTTGTTTTCTGATTCCTCTTATAAAGTAAAACCTTACCTTCTATATGCCTCTTTTGTCTTTATTACCCAAAAAAGAGATATTATTTACTTCCTAGGAATGCTTTAAGCACCGAAAATATATTGTAATGTTTCTGCAGTGAAACTAAAACAGAGTAAGCATCAAAAATCTTTTCAGAAATTTATCAATACTGTTTCTTCAGAAAATTAAATAATGACAATTATTCAGAAAAAGGAATCATAGTAATTGTTTTTCTCCATATTTTATATTTGAATAATTGTAAAATTATAATTATTATTATGTGGATATGTTTGTCTTGGATTTTCTTTGCCTTGTTGTTTTGGAGGTTAGGGCAAAGATATTAAAGGGAAAATGTCTATAGTCCCCATTGCTACAATTGGTCCCAAGACAATAATTGATGCTCATCTATTCTTTCTTCCACTAAACATTGCAAATTCACCTCACCTAAGGTTTACACTTCTACTTCTATAAGCTTATTTTTTATATATTTAAAATTAATAGTTTCTGCTTCTCAAATTCCTTGTAGATGATGGTCCCCAGCTGTGCCGGAGACATGCTGACAATGACGTTGGCACTCTGGAGGGCAGAGATCTTCTCCTTGGCTCCTCCTTTTTCTCCAGCAATAATAGGCCCTGCATAGCCCATCGTCTGGCCAGGAGGAACCATCAAACCAGCAATGAAAGAAACAATAGGCTTGGTTTTGGGACCTGAATTATGCTTCTTCAGAAATTCTGTAGCATTTTCTTCGGCATTACCATCAATTTCACCAATCAATATGATACCTTCTGTGGCTGGGTCATTCAAAAAGATTTCAAAGCAATCAATAAAATCTGTTCCATTAAATGACTCCCCTCCGATGCCTTCACACAGAATCTGCCCCGGTCCTGTTTGGTGAAAAGCTTCGTAAGTCAGAGTGTCAGATCTAGACACAATACCAATTCTTCCTTCCTTGTGAATATGAACAGGCATGATACCAATTTTGCATTCTGCAGGATTGATGACTCCAGGGCAGTTGGGTTCAATCAGCCTGGTCTTTCCCTGGCACAGCAGTTTTGTGCTTGACCGCATGGCTGCCCACCTATGAGATGGTCAGACTTCTTCATTAAGACCCTGAATGATCCGTTTGAGGCTCTTTGTACTCCTAGAACGAGCAGATACCATTGGGCTACACTAGCACACGACAGTGACGAATAGAGATTTTACTGGCACCCACTAGAGCAAATCTATGAGTAATGGGATGTCAAGTGATCAAGTGATGAAAATTAATAAACTCCATACAAAGTGGCTGCTTTACTCATTAAGAAATAGCTTAAGGAATCAATGTTGGTCTCTTCTATTCATAAGTATTAGTGAAAGGAAGTGCAAGAAGTTAGGCTTGTCTATATTTGCTATTCTTGCCACTATGGATACTTTTTTCATGGTGCCATTGTGCTAGTGCTTTCATGGTTCAGGACAGAATCGACTCATATCTTCTGGTTGAATCATCTATCCAGTGATTATCTAAGATATCTGTAGTATGTGCTTTCTAGCAGAGAGTGATGTTAATGCACAAGACGTACACACTCAGTGCTTGATCTTAAGTGTCCCATTTTTCTAAATGTATGTTTCCTCTACAATACTCTATGAATATGATTCTGAAATTTTGACCTTGCTCTCTTGGACCACCTCTTTCTCTTTGCAATAGACAAATTACACTATTTGTAATAAATCTTGCTTCTATTCTGAGCCCTTCTTAATGCAACATTTTAGGATGATTTTCAAAATCATCTCTCTTCCTTTAAATGGTATATAGTTATTCACATAGTTTGGAGAATAATGATGCAGAGACAGATCCCTTTTAGTAAGATTAGGATAAAATGTGATTCTAGGGCCAGAGAGAGAGAACACCTGAGGTAAGGTGATTGCCTTGTACACATCTCATCTAGTTTGAATCCCCTAGCACTACAACATGTCCTCTGAGCATCATCCGTTGTTGTCCTAAGCAAGCAGCCAGGAATATCCCTTAGCTCTCCCAGATGTAACTTTTTTAAAAGTTATTCTAAGTATTGATCTTAAATTATTTGGAATGAAGATTAGTATTAACCTTAAAAAAGGAAAACATATTTTTCTTGGGCACTGAGCTCACATAAAACTGTTATATGATCTCTAAATAAAGGGAACAGTGTTTCCTCTGACAATGATATAGGGGAATAGGAATTGAAGGGACTAAAAGATCTCATGGCTGCAAGACACATCACAAGACCCTTCTGACCCATTTTCCATAATCACTGCACCATATTTTATGGGGTTCAAACATGGTATGGACTCTGGGAACACCTGCAAAGGCGATTTGAGGCCACCCTAAAAGCCTCCATCCGTCTCAGAGAGACCAGCAAGCTACCGAGAGTATTCTGCCCACACGGCAGAGTCCGGTAAGCTACCCCTGGCATATTCGATATGCCAAAAACAGTAAAAACAAAGGGCCTCATTTCCCTCACCCTGAAAGAGACCCCCTATGGCATTGTTAAGAACAATGAGCAAGGAGAGGCTGATAAAATATCAGGATCGAACTAGGCTGCCAAAACAAAGAAGGACTAAAATGAATGTTTGTATTTTCAATGCACTTACACTGGCATTGGAAGCATTCATTGAAAACCTGATGGTGCTAGCGCAGAAGATCAAGTATGACATCATTGGCCTGACCAAGACAAGAAGGCATTGACCAGCTATGCAATTTTCGACACTGGAGAAGAACTATTTCTTGGAACATGCGACAATAGAGACATCGGTGCTGTCTGTGTCCTTGTCAACACGAATTTAGCCATGAGCATTGATTCATTTGAATGCCTAACAACTCGAATCAGACAATTACACTTGAATACATGTGGCTCATTGCCGGCAGTTTCTATCTTCATCTACATACTAACATCCAGCTACGATGACAAAGAAATTGAGATGTTCTCATGGAGCTGAAGAACTTCTATAAAGAAGACCACACCTTCTAGAAAATCATTGTCGGTGATTTTAATGCCAAGATAGGACTGAGAAGGTTGCCCAAAGAATGCCACATCAAACCCATGGCCTAGAATGGAACAAACAGGATGAGAGACTGTCTGAGTTCATCATGTCAACGAAGACCATCCTTGGTAACTCAGTAATCCAGAAGGCTGAATCTAAACGTTGGACATGGGAGTTTCCTGGTGGACAGTTCCATAATAAAACTGACCACATCATATTCAAATGATGGTTTTGCCAGACCAATGTTGCTGTTGTCCCAAAATTCCAAATAGGATTGGACCACTCTCTACTTCATCAAAAATTCTACTTCACAGAGTGCGGAGAAAGGGCTACAAAGTTTAAGAAGAGAACTCCCAAAACGACCACGAACTGGGAGCTCTTTGGCAATATTTCAGCAACATAGGAAGACGTCATCGTTGACAACATTGATGAGGAATACGATTGACTCATCGATGAGTCAGCACCTCCATGACAGCTCGAGGAATGCCGAGAGTGGGAAAGCCACAGATTCCTGTCTTTGGAAACTCTCTAGCTCATTCACCAACGTGGTTTCATGTGAGCCTCAGGCAATCACAAGTGAACATCTGAACTCGCAAAGCTGTGCAGAGAAGCAGTAAAGGAATATCTGAAAGAGAGAAGAGCAGCAGTGTCAGCCAATGTGGCAGAAGCCAGGAAAAGTATTCACAGCACCCGCCTGTCTTTTGCCAACTATAAGACCAAAATGACTGCCCTCTTACATCCTGATAGATCTATCACATCTTCCAGAAGGACAATGGAGAAGATTATCCACGACGTCTACTCGGATCTCTTCAATAGCAATGTCCACCTGCCCACATACCAAATTCCGCAGGATGGATATGTCATTCCCAACATTTGCTCTTCCAAAATCTGACACACAATTTTATCTGTTAAGAAGTATACAGCACCCAGTCAGACAAGGTCAGACCCGAACATCTGAAGAATCTGCCAGCAGTACTCGTCAATACACTGGCTTGGCTCTTCACATGCTACCTGTTTGAATGCAAGGTTCCATTCCAATGAAAAACTAGCAGGACCATTCTATTGTACAAGAAGGGAGACAACCACGACATAGGCAAGTATCTCCCAATCTTTCTGTTGTCTGTCACCTACAAGCTGTTCACTCTAGTCATCCTCAGTAGGATTGACAGAACACTAGACAAAGGATAACCATGCAAACAAGCCAGGTTCTGAAATGGATTCAGTATTATTGACCATATCCACATGGTGACCAAGCTCATGGAGGTTTCACAAGAGTTCAAGATGCCCCTCCATCTAATGTTCATTGATTTAAAGAGGGCCTTTGATTCTGTTGATACTGAAGCGGTCATCAAAGCCTTTGCCAAACAGGATGTTCAAACTCAATACATCAGGATCCTTCTTGAGCTGTATTATGGATTCACCTCCAGGATCTCACCATTCTACAAGGATGTGATCATCACTGTCAAGACCAGATTCCGCGGGGTGATAATATTTCACCGAAACTCTTCAATGCCACTCTCAAGAATGTCATGTGATGACTGAAATGGGAAGGAACGGTAGGGAAGATAGATGGTTGGCAACTCACCACCTTCTCTTTGCTGATGACATTGTTCTACTAACACCAAACATTAGCCAAAAGACACAAATGCTGGCCAACTTTGACTGTGAATGTGGAAATGTCAGACTGTAGCTGAGTCTCATCAAAACAGTGTTTATGAAAAAGAAACTAGTCCCTGACATTCTATTCGCTCTCAACGGAACTAACATCTCCGAATGCAGCAACTATGTGTTATTGACCTGGGTCAATAACTCAACATGAGGAACAACTTGGTGCCAGAACTGCACAGCAGGAAGAGAGTGGCGTGGAATGCCTTCAAAAACATCGAAGAAATAGCTAAGAGAACGAAGAACCTCTGGCTCTGGGCACATCTTTTCAACTCCACTATTCTTCCTGCACTAACATACACTTCAAAGACCTAAGCCCTATGAAAAGAGGATGATAATGCTATCTGTATCATCCAAAGAGGAATCGAAACAGCTATGCTTAGAGTATCACGCTTCACTCAAGTGAGAGAAGGAATCCAGAGTTCCGACCTCTGTCGATAATCTAAGATCAGGAATGCTGTCTTTTTTTTTGCCAAGGTGTCGAAAATCAGATGGGCCAGACATGTAATGTAATTTGGAGATGACCGCTGCACTAGAGCCGTTACCAACTGGATTCCATGGGACTTCAAAAGAACACCTGGTCCCTCCTCTACAAGATGGTCGGATTTCTTCGTCAAGACCTTAAACAAATGGTTTGATGCTCTTTGTGTTCCTGGAGTGAGCAGATGCCATTACACTACATTAGCATGCGACAGGGTCTAATGAAGATGTTTCTGGGTCATGCTGGAGAAAATCGACGTACAACGGGATGACAAGTGATTTCAAGTGACCAAAGATTTCAAGCAAATTTGATCATTAAACATATTATCTAAGGCTTTAATTCCTTATTTTTCCCTGTATTGGTTCTGACTTCAGTATAGAAGGTTCTCTAGAATTGATGACTTAGATTGCTTTTCTATGTTTGTTTGTTTTTTATTTTTGGTCCATGTTTGACAGTTCTGAGGGATTATTTCTCCTGAGCTCAGTGGACTATATGTGGTACCAGAGATTGGACATAAAAACAAGATTGACTGCATGAAAATACAACTACCCTACCTTATGTACTCTCTCTCTCAAGTCCCTAGACTTCTCTTTAACTATACCTGTCTAATGACCAATGGTAGATTAGGTTGAATACTCAATATGTTTTTCCCATCTGTTGCAGAAGATGTTATCAAAAACTTTCATGAAACCATTATACCTTCACAGCTCTCTTGATAGTTGATTGACCTACAGCTGTTATTTCTCTCTTCAAAAGTTTTTAATCTCAGTTATAAAAATCAATTTTTTCCACAATCATTTCTTTTTAGATGAAAATCCCTACTCTTAAACTTTACATAGCATTAGAATGACTGGAGAGCTATTCAAACACATATTTAAGAAACCAATTCCTGAGTTTCTGATTCCTTTAGTCTGGGAATGGACAT